TCTAGCATACGGGTTACGATATGTAATTTTAATTTGCATGATTTTCACGAAATTTTTAAATATGCACATACATATGTGATATTTACATTTTTAATAAACGATACACACGTAATAAATTGAAAACTTTAATTATTCAATTCCTTTAAATTCAAGGCATACTCAGTACCTGTAAAATTGAAGAAATAAAAATTCTTTTTGTTGTTTAATTTATATTAATTTTTAAATAGTGTATTCTGTACCAAAAATCGTATAAACTGTAGTTTCAAACTTTGTACAATATTAAAAAAAAAAACTCAAAAAACTCTCGTAAAACTTAGAGTTTTTATCAGAATAATAAAATAAATTAAGTATGCACTTTTGTAGCCCATTAAATTTTTTTAATTTTGCTTTTTATGTTTTACGAACAACGCCAACTAGACGTCGTCAAATTAGCGACCTTTGTTATCGTTAACGACAACAGCTGATTTGGCGCTAACGAATGTTGCTAATCTAATCTAAGAATATGAGCGTACATAAAATATGATGAATAAACAAAATGTTGTGAGGGATACGTTTACTGAATAGCTAAATTATTAAAATTGTCGTTTAGCTGACTTAACAATAACAAGAGTTGTTAAAATCGCGTAGTCAATCGCACCTCTGGTCACCATAGTTATAACGCAAACCCACATATCTGAACAATCAGTTGTATGGGAGCTATTAGTGAACCGATTTCCATTATTTTGATAAATAGTTAAGGTAATATCAATAGGCAATCACTTGCTAAATTTTAGAAAAAAAACAGAACAGCTAAAATTTAAGCAATTTTTCAATTGAATTTAAAAGGTCCCAGTTAAGGAAGATCATCTATCAAAACCTTTGCCCACAAAATGGTTCAAAACCGGGGCACAGTGTTACGCTGAGTCAAAAACACAATGGTTTTTTCAACCAAGGTATGGTTTGATTTTTCATGGTTAATAAGCCGATTGTAAGAAATGTGATTCAAGTTGAACATTTGAGAACAACTTCGTATATAAGGCAGTGGCTGAACGTGCAGAGGTGCTTGCTGTTATTTGTTGGCTTCCAGCAGTACGAATGCCGTCAGCGCGATGCAAAATAATTTTAAGTTTTTTCTGTTCTTGGTTTTTCTTTATCACGAAAAAGCATCTGTTAAGTGCATAGCTAAATTAAACGACGAAGAAAATTGATTTAAGTTGAACATTTAAAGACAAATTTATAAAGGGGCTATAGCTGAGTGTGCAGAGATGATTGCTGTTACTTGCTAATCCCGTCAGAGGCAACGTGTTAATATGGTTATAAAAATTTTTGTTTTGTATCTCCGAATTACGAAAAAGCACCTGTGAAGTGCAGAGAATAAACGTATTGAAACGAAAAAATCGTCCACCAAAAGTTTGGTTAATGTAAACAAAAGTGTGGTTAATATAACCAAATAATTGTTGAAAACATCAACCAAAGCATTGTTAATATTAACCAAAACTCACATTGATTCCTTTTCAAGTTTGAATTTGGTAACATTAAGCACTTTTTGGTTGATTTTTTGCTCAGTGTGTAAACTTCCGCCCTAAATATCTCAAAATTTTTACGTGATAAAAATTTTCTGAAAACGACATCGTAATCTAGAGGCCAAAATTAAGTTTACGTGTTTAGCATATATGTAATACTCCTATATTGGCTGTAAGAGCTAGTACCGTCCGAAAACACTACAGTACAGATATATATATCAATAAACACGTACGAAAGAAAAGGAACACATACGTTTATAAATAAACATGTACACAACACATATACAAAAACGGCACTCAAGTACACAACACATTGACAAAAACGGTACTAGACTGTCTCGCTTTGATTTCGGAATGCTTACACATTGAGAAGTTAGCTTACTGCCAATATAGAAGTATTACATATATGGTGTTTAGTCGTTTAACTCTGCTATTTCAAAACGGTAAAATTTACCTACCTAATTCCAATGTTTGCTAACGGAAATGTCCTTGGCTTGGAGGACATCAAGCGTTGCATTGCCGAAACCGGCGTGGAGGGTGTGATGACTGCCGAAGGCAATTTACACAATCCAGCCATATTTACTGGAAAATCAATGAAAATTTGGGATATTGCAAGCGAGTATCTAAACTTTGTGCGGAAATATCCAT